CAAATTTTTAATTGGTGATGAAGCATACTTGTTGAAGATTGAAAGCGCAAACTGAATTTTCAATGAAAACTTTCAACGACAAGATAATGCATTGAATGCACATATGGAATTTTAACCTCGGAATAGCGTTTTTACAAAGAAACATTGAAACAAAACAAAAACTACCAAAAATAAAAAGATGTGCATGCTTATTGGTCAATTTTGAGAGAGAATATGACAGTGATCTTAAATTTATACAAATAACTGCTACTGTAAACAATAACCCAGCTCAAATAAATACGAAACTAGCTCCGTTATAACAGAGGCAAAACAGCGTTGAATATAAGAAGTGAATTAGCACAGTATTTTTAGATATATTTCAGAATTAAACATTATTTAAATATATAATTTAATCAAAACTTACCAATCTATCTTGCTATAATAACGACCAAAATGCCACAATTCCATATTTCTAATTCAGCGTCGTGTGAGCATTGATCTCTTGAATAACCTAGTTGCTTTATTGATTGTCTGAAAGATTTGAAACCATATGGAAGCCATCAAAACGCACTCAAATTTGCTCATAATTTCAAAATTCCATGAACGTCTCGACAAGTTTCAGCCGTTAGGTTGAGTTTTTATCTCCTTTAAAGTGTTTCAATCCGAAAGCCGATTTCAAATGGCTTGACGGCCACGATTCTAGCAGACCACCTTGTATTAAAGAGACAGTGAAGTGAATTAGGTATTTTGGATTTCAGAATTTCCCAAAGTTGCGTGCTGCTACTGAAAATATTGAAACATTTTGAATGACACCAAAAAGTGATTGCTTGAGGACGGCATTCAGCGAGTCGACTCCAACCAAATTCAGCATGTTGTACCATAGGGCGAAAGAATACTTATTTTTACATTGAATGTGATTTAGCGCTCCTTCATATTTAATGGTCATATTACTACTATTATTGTAGCCCTGTCCACGGCAATCTTCCAATGTTTTGCAAATTATACGGCAGTATCTTTGCAGCCTTTTGTGTCAATTTACAAAAGCAAGAAAACGTTCCTTATCGGTAATCATATTGTTTAAATAAATGTTTAAATTAATTACCTACCAAAGCATTCTAATTTAAACTATTCACTTCATTATTTGGAAGATACGGACCCCTTGAGAACTCCAGGCCTGGGGCAATCCTCCTAATTGACACATTAGTGGCACCACTACAACTGTCCATTGTCGTCGGAGAAATCAAAATTGTGTTATTTTGGCGACAGCGAACACTGCAAGCCAGCAGCCGGAAGTCGTGCTGTTGTCTAATGCTTCAGTTAGTGACCGACTTAAAACTTTAGACAGAATCTACAAATACGATATCTTATGAGAGCGCATTGTTAATGAACCCTTACCAACGCTTCTACCGTCCGTGTACGTGAATATCTGCGAAAATTGATTTTCCCGTAGAAACGAGTCAGCTACAAAGGTTTGCCAATCTCGATATTTTTAGTAATTAAAAATTAAGTTGAATATATTTGAAATTTTCTTAACCTAACTCAAAATCACGGTCGAATACTACAAGGTGTGTTCCAAAGTAAACAGAACTTTTAAAACAACAGAACAAATGGATTTATCGGCAAAATCAATTAATTTTATTCAAAATAGTCTCCTTCTGCTGTAATACAGCATTTTGCACGGTCCAAAAGCATGTCGAACGAGTGTTTAGCTCGTTGCCGTATGGCCGCCAGTATGCCGGTGCAAGCCTTTTGAATGGCCTCCACGTCTGCATAACGCTTTTCTTATCGGTAAATGCATTTTCCGAAAAGGTAGAAGTCGCACGGTGCCTATCAGGAGAATACGGGTGTGGTTGATTGTTAAAATGTGATTTTGGTAAATAATCCATCTTCGCGATATTCGGGCCGAACACGTCGAATACGGCGCACCAAACGCTTCAAAACTCAAGGTAGAATACCGCATTAACGTTTTGGCCGGGTGGAACAAATTCTTTGTGGACAATACCTTGGAATCATAAAACAAATCAGCATTGTCTTCACTTTGACTTCTCCAGGCGCGATTTTTGGGTTTCGGCTCATTTCTCATTTATGTCCTCACGACCACTTTGAAAACGTTAAAACCATCTTGCACTCTGCTACGGATAGGCAATCATCGCCATAAACTTGTTTCATCAATTGAAACGTTTCGGTAAAGTTTTACCAATTTTAAAACAAAATTTATGTTGGCTCTTTGTTCGAAGCTCATTTCGCACCGATGACAAAACATACTGACACTTAAAACGCAATAACTTCACTTTCAATAGATGAAATGTCATGAAATTTTACTGGAAGTCGATAAAGGAAAGCAGATTCCAACGCACTGGTCGACATATAGATGGCGCCACTAGAGTTTACTTTGTTACTTTTTACTGTTTACTTTGGAACGCACATTGTATTATTTAACACTCCCACCGCTTCTAGCGTCCGTCTAAGTAGATATTCGCGAAAATTAATTTTTCCCGTAGAAACGAGTCAGCTGATTTCTCTCTACAACACAGGGCTGCCAGTCTCGATATTGTTTAGCAATTATAAAATAAACTTGAATATAAACTAACTCAAAATCACAGTCGAATACTATCTATATACTTATACAAAATGAAACCCGTTTCCCGTTGTTACGCCATAACTTGAGAACGGCTAGGCCGATTGGCTGTTTTTGTAGTTTTCTAATACTCTGCAAAAGGTTCTTCCGGAGAAAATATTAAGAAAATGTATCAGAAAGATTGAAAAATACATTTAATTTTGTATATTTTAAAAATGCGCGTAACGAATGTCATCGTCATTCACAGCAATGATTATATTGAAGGAGCATCGTTTGTTCGGAAATGTGGTACTCTAATCAAATTCTTTTATAATCTTATTTACTAATTTTGAAATTACTCGCACAATTAAATGTACCGACTTTGACGGTAATATTAATAATACCAGTGATAATTTCATTTTGATGTAAGTATTTAATAATAATAAAATATGTATACTATGAGTTAGATTTCAGAATTAAGTTAGATTTCATATAACTGCAACCAAATCGAAATGCCTTAAACTTCCAGCCAATTTCAGCACTATTGTACACGGACAAAATTAATTAATTGCCCGTATTCCCCAGTCGAACAAAATAATTATTTAAATCATAACTGGCTCGGAAATCGAGCTATATAAACAGAAAAATGCTGAATTAGTTTTAATAATAACATTTTACTAATTAAACTGCTTACTCAATATAATTTATTATACCTCAGCCTCAGCAAGGCCTGGCCGGGGTCTTCTAGTTACTTATAAACAGGTAGACTTCTTTAATAGTAGGATTTTGGTTTGATCTTTAACATTAAAAGATAATAACTTAAAAGCTAAATTTTGCAAAACCATGTATACATATTAAGTAATGCCAACATTAGTCAAAAAAAAAACAAAAGAGAGCAACTGATTTCTACATTGCCACTACGGGCACAACTTTCGACAAATTTCGTTTGATACGGGCGGTAACTACGGCAGGGCGGCCTCTCAGCCGCTCACTGATTAACGTGCCGCCCTTCTCAAGAAAGTTAGAATGCAAGATGACACCAACCGCTATCTTGTGAAGTAATTCTTTCGAGTTGCGAAGAAGAAGCATAGAAAAGCATGTAAGTTGTTAAAAAAAACGTAACTTGCTGAAAGATGTAATTCTATCACCTCTTCAAACTCTGTCAAAGTGTCTAAAATCGGTTAATAACCACGCCCACTCGCCATATAACGGTTATGTTGAAAGCTACCAAAAGTAATCAGTAAGAACTCACTGAATAAATGAGCCACAAGCATTAAAATTCACAACTAGGATGGTAGAGAAGGGCTTCTTAGGATCTGGTGTCCTTTAGGTAAAGTCCTATATCTCCTATGAGACACTGTAAAAAGGGGCGACAACCACGTCTAATTCACATATAACAAACTTTTAAATTCCGCCTAATTCTGTCACTTTACAGTATACAAATCAAACATTAATAAAGTTATCAGAATAAAACTTTGCACATTGAGGTATTACATCTTACGTCCAAAAATTGTTGAAATCGCACTATAACTTGTGCCAAAAATAGGTCAAATCAGGTCAACACTTCCCTTAGCCCCGTATACCTGAAATAAAGATTTTCGAACCTCATATTCACTTTATACCGCATCTATCGGTCAATATGTAAGAAATCTTAATGAAATTCAGAAAGAATCTGTTCCTTGCATGGCATGTTGCATGAGTATGAAATGTTCGGTTATACCCGAATACTTTTATCTATTGACAACATAATTGCTAATTAAGCTATCCTAAATAAGTTCCAAATTTACTATACTTTATTGCTTGACGATCAAGTTTAAGGAGTAACCAACAGGGGATTTGCCGATACAGCCAGGGCTAGCCCGAGACAATTTACTCCCTTAGGCAAATGCCGAACTCTCCGCCCCTTCTAAGTCTATTTTGCCGAAACAACAATTTATAATTAATTTTATTGAAAAAGCACTCATATTCCAAAGGTTTAACATAATTATTTTAAAATATTTTTGTACCTTTAATTTGGAAAAATCAGACACAATTGCTTTATTGTTAAGAGTTTATTCCACTTAATTTTCAATTGATAATATTGTCAAGCCTGCCACTCTTTCTTGACTTATTGTAGATCGCAGGTAGGTTTTGATAAGTTTGAATTAAGAGAAGCTCTCCAATAGTCACCGAAAGAAAAATTTAGAACGATATCTGTTAATTCGTTTGAACAAGTATAATTTAAAACATCTAGTGGTGTAACATACTGTACAATTTTTTCTGCCAATAGCTTGTACTTCGCTGCATAAATCTGTTGCATCTATGTAAATATATCCGTCAATCCACCAGTTATTCACATTTCTAATTTTTTACAATTTTCAAAAATGGCTGCGTGTGTAAAAGTTTGCAGCTGACCAATGTTAAATATGTAAATCATTACCAATATAACAATAACAATATTAATCGAAATAATCAACTTCACATAATTTAAACAAAGAACCAAAGTAAATATATAAAATCATCAAAAGGATTGGTAACTTGTAGATTTATACAATGCATCAGAACTGTTATAATTATATGTACATATGTACTTCTGTAAAACAAAATAAACTACTGCAGAAAGAAGTTGATGTTGTATTTTGAAATATTTTTGGAAACAAAAAGCTTTTCGTTATATTACAAGCTCTCAAAGTGGAGATTTCGAAACCAATATTACTAGTGTCATAAAAATAACGAATTTTAACAGAATTGAAAATAGTCGAACTGACTTATTTCTTCATATATTTAGTAAATTGATGACTTTTCTGAAAGCTTTTCCTACAGCGTGCTTTTTGCTTTGTTCTTCTGTGTTTGATGGTTCGAAAATACCGTCAGAAAGAAATAAACAGAAACGAAAAGAATGCAAAGTAAGCGATTGTAACGTTTCAAAAAGCAGCAAAAGTTATTGCCCCAAAATACAAGGCAAAATTTACAATGAATAAATAAGTACAAGTGTGTTATGTAAAATCCGAAAATATTTGCAGTTCAATCGTTGAAATCTAGTTTTTTACGTAGATTTTTGTAGTGAAGGTCACTTTTTAAGATAACATAATGTTTCGAACTAAATTTCATTGAAATTGGAGTACTTTTACTTTTTTCGTCTACTTGCGTACAGGGTGTGCCAGTTGACCAATTTGCTCCATATTTTTAATTTCTTCTTTCTATGATAAATGAGGTGCCTATAATGAGTTATACCAAAATTGGAGCAAGCTAACTATTTTTGTCCACTCTACTGAGGAGCTTGCGACACTGTGCATCGCAATCACAATCCCTTTTAATTATTCACTTAATTAGCAATTATTTTGTCCACAGATAAAAACATTTATTCCAAAATTAGCAAAATATTTTCTCGCACTTGTGCTACGCTTCTTCTTCTCAACTCAAAACAATTACGTCACAAGATGGCGGTTGGCGTAATCTTATTTTCTGTTGCAATTTCATAAAATAGGTCGTGTGAACAGATACGGTATCATTGTATAAACAGAGAACGTATATTATAGAAAAGGTTCAATTGCGGGCCAGTGTGTGAATTATCAAAACATAACAAGATTTTAATAGTGGATTTCACCTCAGCTAGCTCGGAAGGAGAAACTTTGACAGTGGCGAGGGAACAAAGCTGAGCATTCAATGAAAATTACGCTCAGAAGTTTGCATTGCTATTACAGCCGAATGTTAACCTTTTGGCTTATATATTTATACGTTTATATGCAATTATATATATTGAATATAATTAAATTATGTAATTTTCAAAATATAAGATATAGTCAATTGGGAATTTAATGATATTATTTAGTTTTTACATAATATGCATTCCTAATAAATATTTTGTATTATAATTGTTATTAATAGTGATTAAATTTATTAAAACATTCACATACATACATCTTTTATCATATTAACCCTTATGTTAGGAGCCCACTTTACCGACGTCTTTTAGCAACCGGGTACCCACGATATGAGAATTAAAAATTTTGTTTATTTATTAATAACTAATAAATAAAATAATATTATATAATATATAGTCAGTGACAATTTAAAGAAAAGAATAATAATAATAACAACGTAGAATCGTCAATGACATCTGAAATATCATAATATTTAATTTATTAGGTTAAGTGCAACCGACAGTGATTCGAGTAGGGTTTCTGATAGCGATGACGAAGACTGGATTGCAGCAAATAGAGCTAGACATCAAAATCATTAAGGTAATTAAGTGCGTGACGAAACAGAAGATTCTGAAGAAATCGATGAAGAGAATTCAGCAGTAGAAGAAGAAGAAGAAGTTGAGAGAAGGAGAGTGAGGATGATGACAATGAAGTAGAAACCGTTGAGCCTGAAGGTAGTAAAATGTTTGTTCTTAGCAATGATTGAAATAATAATTATTTTTTTTAAATAATTAATTAATTTTTTTATTATTATTTTAGGAAAAGCACCATCTGGGAGTTTTATTGCCAAAGATAAAACAGTGTGGAACAAAACTCCACCAACTCAGCATCAGACCGCAGCTCATAATGTTGTACGCCAGCGTCGTGGGCCTAATCGAAGTATGGAAACGTTGTCAATTAGCGAGACTTTCAAAAAATGTTTACCTACGAAATGGTTGATATAATCGTCCGTCACACTAATAAAAAAGCTGAAACAATTTTCCAAGAGTACAATGCTAACCATCCAAACTCACAGCATCAATGGAAGCCCGTTACGATACCCGAAATTTATTCGTTCTTCGGTATCTTGATTTGTGCTGGAGCAAATAATTCGAATACAGATCATACATTTGATATGTGCACTTCAATTATTATCCGCTGTATCGCACGACGATGGGATTGACGAGATTCCATAATATTCTTTGTTTTTTGCGATTCGACGATGGTAATACTCGAAGTGAACGTAAAAAAGAAGGCAAGGCAGCTATAATTAGTGATGTGTGGACAATGTTGAATTCAAATTTAGCTCAAATGTACAAACCAACAGCTAACTTGACGATTGATGAACAGCTTTATCCATACCGTGGCCATACTGGATTTACTCAATATATTCCATCGAAACCAGCTAAGTATGGTATAAAGATCTGGTGGATTTGTGATGCAGAAAACGCATATCCTTTTCAAGGGATTATGTACACTGGTAAAACAGATAATACTTGAGAAAAAAATCAGGGTGAAAGAATTGGCGGCTCCGTACCGAGGTAGTGGTAGAAACATCTGCATGTATAACTTCTTTAGTACTGTACCAGTTGCTAAACATTTGTTGTCGTTGAATATTACCATTGTTGGCACGCTAAAAAAGAATAAACTTTACATCCCTAGTGCTTTGGGAGTGAATAAAACACGGGAGCAGTATTCGACAGTTTTTGGATTTCACGAAAAGGTTACCATATCTTCCTACGTTCCTAAAAAAAATAAAGCTGTCATTCTGATATATACAATGCATTCAGATATATCAGTTGGTGATAACGCTCAACGAAAACCAGAAATAATAAATTTGTATAATAAATATAAAGCTGGGTTGACACAATGGACCAAATGGTGCGGAGATACACCAGTCAACGACGATCTTCGAGATGGCCAAATGCAATGTTCTTCAAAATGCTAGATATTTCTTCACTTGCGGCATATATAATTTATTATGAAAATAATAAAATGATTGTCAAAAAAACGACAGAACATCGTCAATTTATATAGAACTAGCATTGCCGTTGATTGAACATCGCACGGCGAATCCACAAGTAATGCGCCACTTCTCAACAAAGATTGCCATTGAAAGTGTATTAGGTTATATACTGACAGAAACAGTCGTGATAAATCCTGGTCCAGAGACTCCAAAAGACAAAACCGGAAGGAAAAAAGTAACAGGATCTTGTCATGTCTGCAATGCTTTGCCAATAAGAAGACGGCGAAAGACACGTAAGGCCTGTGCCAATTGTTACCAACCTGTGTGTGACGAGCACTCAGTTAATCGTGTACAATGTGTTCAATGTCATTAATTATAAAGAAAGTGTAATATTTCTTTATTTTTTTAATAAAATTTAGTTGCATGCATTAATAGAAATTATATAAAATTTTTTTCCTATACTTTCCACTGTGGGTTTCCAAAAAAAAATATAAAAAAATCCCTTAAATGAACTCATAAATAGCTCTCTTTTAAGTTAAAAAACGACGATTTGAGAGCTTAAAACGAAATATTGAATTTTTTTTAAGCTATTCACACAAATACACCGCGGTGGGTACCCGGGTGCCGGTTACTAACATAAGGGTTAATCTTATATATTTTATCACTTGCCAATACACTATAGTGCGCACATTGATTTATATCAGGGATAATGGGATGCCCAACTCTTTCCAGTGTGAGAGCGCCTCAAAATTAGCGTTTTTTATAACATTTTCCATTGTAGCCAGATGGTACAAAATAATAATTTTTGGGAATTTAAATTAAAATACCCATCATTTATTAAGATTAAATATTATTATACATGTATCCGTTAAACATATGCAGAAACTTTTTATACTCTTTTTTTTTGTGATTTTGTGATTTATTAAACAATT